TCGATTTTTATCGATTTAATCGATTCGTTGTTGCAGCCCTAATGTGGACAATCTCTTAATAAATATCAGCTTTATTGAAAAATAAAGGCCGACTGAAGATCCCAGTGACACTCACCTCTCCGTCTGCAGCTGCGGCTGAGGTCATCTTACTCACACTGTAAGCTTTTTTCCTGTTGTGAGCACTGTACACACGCATAACCCTAAAACACACAGATTTTACATGCTGTCAGTATGCAAAACCATGTAAAAAAGGTTTACTCTAAAATTCTCATTATAAGACTCTTGTATATGATAATCTGTAATGGCTTGAAATTAAGCCATTAAAATCACTATACTAACCTGTCACAGCTTAATGTGCTGATGTACTGTCCAAGTGGGTCCCATGCTACTCCTTGCACATAACTCTTATGATCATTAAAAATGCACATCTTTTGACCTGCAAACAAACCAGGCACTGAATTCAATAACCACAAAACATTTCATAAAGTTCTGCTTACTAAAAAGGTATTCACTGTAATATTTCAAAACGCATATCATCACTTCTATAAAAGCAAATATATGCATGCAATTCCATAGTCCTGCTTCAGGTCTCATACCCTTGTTGACATCCCACATGATGGCAGTGTTGTCCACAGAGCCCGAAACCATGAAGTTCCCATCGCTGGTCCATGAGATATCATATACATCCTCAATATGTCCCCTAACAAACACAGACAACAATATGAGCTTTCAATATACGTTTCAAAAGTAAATAACTTAAAGTTGCAATGAAACGGAAGTTTTTTTTCCCATATTGTTATACATGTCCGAGTTAAATAGTTTATTATAAAAGAAAAAAAAAAAGGATGGGGACTTGGTTTTATTGGTTGATTGGATGGAGGCAGATCATCTGAATGTGAGCTTGCAGTCGATTGTAAGAAAATGGTTGGGTTTAAATAAAATCTAAGCATACATCAAAAGAGAGAAGTCTGTTATTTCACCGAAAGGCTGATTTATGACATTTTGACTGAAAATCACAAATCTAAAAATAAAATAATAATATATATATATATATGTGTATGGATGCGTTGTGCACAAGAATAATAACATTCATTTATATAACAGATAATGTGAATTTTAATTTCATGCATTTTTTATGTAAAAGACAGGCAAGGGGGACATTTTAAGAAAGAAAAAAAAAAAAAAAAAACTAAAATCAGACCTCAGTGTCTTGACCACACTCCAGCTCTCTTTATTGAGTTGATCATCTTCATTCTCCTGAAAAGCCGGGGTTTGTTCAGGCTCCTTATTATCATTCAGTTTCCAAAGCAAGATTGCAGCATCTTGAGAAAC